TAAAGGAGATTTTTTTTTTTTCCCAGAGCCCTTCAAAGGGCATGAAACCCAGGAGAAAACCCTCAGACAGAGAAATGCACTTGCTCATAGACATGGACGCAGGAACCCCGTGTAAAAAGCTTCAGGAGACTAATAATGTGGGTGGAAAATTAAGGCACCTCATAAAAGGTTTTTAGTAACAAGGGAACAGATCACATCAACTTGGAAAGGTTAAGGAAAGCAATTTATAGCCACTAATTAGGGCCTCTTTTGAAAGTGCCTTTGCAAATGACAAGGTTGGGTTTATTCCAGCAAGGTGCAATGGGAGCTGCCTGGGGATGGCTCCTAAAAGGGTTCACCACGCTCGTCGTGACTGCACACTTACAGGAGATTTAAGGGAAGAGATGAAGGGAAACGTGGGGGATGTATCTCTATGAATAAGCTGTGCAATATTTATACCCTCCCCGGGGAAATCTCCACACCAGCACAGGACCCAGCGAGCCCCGAGCTTGCGCCTGCTCCTCTGCTAACGGGAACCGTTTTACTGGATGCCAAGTCCAAGGTCATCAGACCTGAGTTTCACTTCACTTCACCAGCTGTAAGGATCCGCATGGTCAACCTTCTGCAGAAACGCTGTTTTATGCAACACTCTGGCTCTGACAGAAGTTTTGCTTGCAGGATGAAGTGCCAGAAGGTGGGAGCTGAAGGACTTTGCAGCGATGCATCCCGGAGCCGCGGGAAGGCAGTGCTCATCCCAGAGCCGGAGAAACCAGGGCACCTCCAGCGCTGCTGGAAGGTGAATCGGTCCTTTGGGGGCTTACTTCTCCATTGGTTCACTGAAGGGAACACAGCTCACCCCCCAGCTAACACAAACACCTCCAGCTCCTGCCATTTGAGTGGGAGCTCCCCCCATAAACCAGCCAAGGCGTGCAAAGGGACTTCCAGGCAGCAAATGCCACACGTCTGGACAGGCAGCCACTTTACCCACCTCTGGGATCTTGTTTTTGATTTACACAACACCAGTTCCTCTCCTTGCACTCTGGGGCTGCTTTTCCAGGAGCTCAGCGATGCAGAAAGTCCCGGACATGACAGCGCTGCAGCAGCCGGGGCTGCTTTCGGGGACGAGGTGCCACCCTGGGAACGGCGGGGCCAGCCTCCTCCTGATGGCTTCGGTCCAACTTGCAGGACAGCCTCCAAGGGCCACAGCCTTCAGCAGCCCTCACAATTTCTTTGCAATTAGCATGGTAGCTTATAAAGCATCGCTTTATTGCATTATAAAGCAACTCTCCTCCGCAGGCACCCGAGCAGCCCGGAGGTTGTACACAACATTGCTGCTCCCTGCGAGCCCTGCACGGACTCAGCATCCTCCCCTTTGCACTGTTCCCCTCAACAGCTCAGATCATGCCTGGAGCTGGGTGAGAGCCTGGACATATTTTCACTTAAAACACTGATCACTGGTGACGCCTCTCCACAGCCTGCGCTTCCCAGCTCCTCCGCGGGGGAGAGCAGAGTGGGTCCAGTATGGCACTGGGAGTGCTCTGCCCTCACCTCAGAGCTCACCCACAAACTCTGTAGATATTTCAGCTTTCCAAACTGAAGGTCCTGGCCAGCATGCTGCAGCCCCAGGGGACTGCTGCCCTCGGTCTGGGGTCACTGTCCATCGCCTCCTTCTCCCCAGCGGGGCTGTCCCCTCACATCTGCCACCAGCGTGTTTGTGGCACGCTCCTTACCCTGGTTCTGTCAACAGAGATCCAAAGGAGCTTTTAATAGCAGCTTGTTTGTTCAGCCTGGGATGTTTTGACAGATCTGTTGCAGAAGATGTGAGGAAGGAGCAAGCAGGAGCCATCACCCCTCCGCAGCTCCTGCCTGTGCTGGGGCTGATGCTCCCCAGGAGCCCTCGCCATCGATCCTGCCTCGCCACCACGCCAAGATCCAGCAATTCCACAGCACACCCCGTCACCCATGGACTCATCAGCTAGAGCCAAACCTGGATTTCTTACATAGGAAAGAAGTCATCTCCTCTGAGGCCATCACGTTTGCAGAGCCAGAGAGGTCAGAGGCTGGGTGGGAAGCCGGGGTGGCTCAGCCCGGTGGCCGTGGCATCGATGGCAGAAGGAAAAGGGGACGAGGGAAGGTGCTGCAGGGACCTGCGGACACACACGAGCTGAGCAAAATGAGCTCTTCTGATTACACTGGGACAAAGCGCAAGCAGAGGACAGCAAAGTCAGCACATCCAGGTCCCCAGGGACACGGGGCTGCTCCCCAAAGAGCAGGGAGGGGTTTTGCACCCATCGACTCCATCCTACATGACTCAACCTGCCGCCTCCATAGGAGGTGACACCACAGCACAAGACACCTTCTGGACACAGAGCCAACTCACCCAGCTCCGCTCTCTTCTCCCCAATTTCATTGCACAGTGCCTACTACCATCCCCTCTCCCACTGCAGGGGTGAGAATGCTAAAAATAAATACAGAAGTGCAGAAAAGTAACAAAGAATGGCAATGGCACACCCACGCAGAGGTAGCTCGGAGGTGACACGTGCCAGCTGCACCCCCAGCTCTCCGCCTTCCTCACGTTAACTTCTCAACTTCTTAATCATTTCTATTTCTCCTCCCCCTCCTCTTCCCACATGGAAACAAAAGATGATTCATACACCAAAATAATCATCCGGGACCTCCACAAGCCCACGAATTCCCTCACTTTGGCCTAGGGCACACGAGAAGGAATTTTCCCAGTTTGGCATCTGGGTCTGACTCTGTCCCCTCCTCCCTCCTGCCTTTATACTGGTCCCACAGCACGGAGCGGGCAGAGCAGGGACAGAACCTGCCCAAAAGCTATGTTTAGGCCTTATATTAATTGACCACAAAACAAAATTTAAAAACCTGAGGCATCTGAAAAATCCATCTACACAGGGGAAGCACCTGCGGCACCGGGGACACTGCCCCTGCCCTCTCCGGCGGGTGGAGAGGTTGATTTTCCACCGAGCAGGGAAGGGTCTTCATCACGTTTGGTGTAATCAACATTGCATTGGAAAGAGT